TTATGAATAATACTTTATATATTAAATAGTCTATATAATCTTCATATCTACCTTCCTAAAATTCTTAGCAGAGCTTCTGACCTACAGTAAATGCTTAATAAATTAAAAATATAGAAAATAATTTATACATATTACCTGGGATGTAGACTTTAAGTTACTTAGTAAACAAGTACTATTCTTGGATTAAAAATCAAAACTCAAACTATGAGTTTTAGAAGAATAATGTGAATTTTACTGATTAAGGAATAAACAAAATCTCAAAACACATTACAACCTTGTTGCTCAAATATAAGGCAGGTCAATTCATTCTGGAACCATTTATGCTATGACGTTGAATAACTTTGGTCTCCAATACACTAAATGGACATGATTTCATCATACATGGTTTTTCGCTAAAAACAAATTAATGAAAAATATCCACGAACACTGCACTTTGAGTACATGCAGAACAGTATAGAAAATATTAGGACTGGATTTGTAAGGAAAAACACTGCAGGTGCTGGAGTTTTAAAATGGAATTTGTATGCAGAGAATGTTTCAAGTGGCCTCAATTACCAGCTGAATTGGTAAAACTCAGCAACACTGAAATTTCTTTTTGAAACAAAACAAAAAATTAAACACCCTTTCCCATAAAACATTTTATCCTTGACAACTATTCACTAAACAATTCTAACCTTCCTGTGAACTGAAGCCATGATTTCCAATAGAAATCTTCACAAAGATTAGTAACTATATAGAGCATTGGTCCTAATGTAAAACTCTGTTCAACAACCCATCAATTTTCCATTAAGATAATAAAGGAAGAGTAGCATCGAAGTTCATTCTCTTTATAATGAGACCTCCTTTATTTTGTTGGCATATTTAGCAATAAGATCACTGTATACAGGTATGTCATACAAAATTCTGGCATTGTCTTCAAGTGTAACCTTGAACTCCCTTTTAAATACTAACAATATGAAACATCTTCCCCAAGCCTAAAGCTGCATTTAAGAACAAACACTATATTATTTTTAAGAAACACAAACTGAAGCATAATATATAACAAGAGAAAAGCAATCTGAAATTTATAGAAAATAAAACATAGCTATTAGAGACATGGGCTATATGTGAGTAATGTACTCAAGTACAGAAATAAGTAGATAACTGGCCAAAAAATTTGCCTCATTCCAAGAATATGTGGTTTTAACATAAACAAGTAAGATTTCTTATTTTTCATTAACTGTTTTTATCACACATCATTTGATCAAATGACAATTGTAAAATTATTTTTAAACTATATCTTTTGGAGGAAGTAATACATTTTGGGCCATATATACATACATACATACACACATATTTCCATACATTCTTTTTTAATTTTTATTAAATTTTGTTGTATTTCATACAGAATATCTCAAATAATCTGAATGATCTTTACAGTCCCGTCCCCACCAACACCCTCCCATAGCACGCCCCCCAACCCATATACTCTGTCCTGAGTGTTAAGGCCCACTGACCTACACATTCTTTTAAGAAAAAGGAACAAGAGAAATTATTTTTAAATCAATGAAACTGCATTAGAAATATGCATATCATAGAAAGCTTATTCATAAGTAAGTTACCACCAATTAATTACGTATCTATGAAAGATAATAGAAATTTAACTTACTAAAGTCAGCAACCACACCAGAATTCTTATTAGGTCATTTCAAAAGGCTCTAATAAGAAAACATTACTGTGAAATAAGGCCATTAGAATCCTGAAGGCATACAGCATGTATGTAGCTCAGGTTTTAAGTGGGAAGACCTACTTTAGAGGCAATGTGTAGATGCTACAGGTATGAAAAATGAGTGCACTGTGAAGAAACCTATGTCAGAAGTACAGGCTCTTATTTTTGTGGCTTGACAGAATTTGTAGGGAAGGTTTAGGGAGTAGGATGAAATATTTTATGTTGCAGCTAGCTCTCATTCTCAGGATTCTTTTATTGCTTAGGGAAAAACTAGTTCAATTTGGTAAGTGGCTATTTGGAGGTTTGCTACTCAAAGTGCTCTAGAAATTTCTATTGAAATGCTAACCAAGTTTCATACCACTTGAAATCAGGTATGTGAATGATGCTCTTCTGAGCTCTACAACACCCACATGTCACAGAGCAAACACTAAAGAGATTGTGAAACACTACGGACTGGCCAGTTTACTTACAACCTGAATTATTTCAAGTCAGACATGATATTTTTTTTAAGCTGTGTTGTAACATTATTTCCTTAATATTTCTGCTTTCTTATGTCAGACGGGGGTTGTCACTCCTTCATTTTCATGCTTTGTCATCAAGTCTATCTTTTTATTGGAACTATACTCACTGGTAGATCTGAAAACCCTGATCGGCTAGAAGTGAACAGGTGAGAAAACATAGAGAAAACCTGTAAAGGTTAAGAAGGGTTTCTGTCTTTTCTGTCATAGACAAGTGTCATCATTGGTAAAAGTCTAGATAGACTTCTGCCTCTACTCTAAGACGTCTTGCAAGAAGCAGCTCAATGACCTTGATTGAGGGACAGGGTGTTTGTCTTCAGTGAGATGAAGTTCGACTTTAAGAACAAAAACGGAAAATCCAGGAATTAAAATAATCTACATAGTTTGAAAACATCAGATATTTATAAAGAGGAGCCAAACATTTTGCTCATAAAATACATGTATTCAGTTTAATGCAAGTATCAGTTACTAAGTGTTCCTTGCAGCTAGGCATCCTTTTGGATATCTGAGTATATGAGTCTTTTTTGAGACAGGGTTTTACTATGTAGTACAGGCTCGCCTTGCCTTCACTATGTTGCTGTGCTGCTTAGGCTGCATTGAACATATGCTAAAGCTCCTGCCTCAGTATCCTAAGTACTGGGACTACTGTGCCCCCATGCCTGCTCTCCATAAATTCTTAGGCTGAAAGATAATCTTCAAAGTGATAGTGTTGGGGTGGGTGATTAAATTGTGAGGGTGGAACTTTCAGTAACTTTCATGAAATGGATTAACATTCTTACGAAACACTTCAGAGCTTCAAGCTGGCCTTTGTGTGAACATAATTAAAAGACAATTACCTCTGAAGGAGGAAGAAGTCCCTCCAGATACAAGTACCAGACACCTCATCTTGGAGTTGCCAGCCTCCACTATGCAAGAAAAGAATGTTTAAGCTTTAGACTACCTAGTTTGGATATTTACTCTAGAAGCCTAAGGTAATGAAGACAAGCAATAAACCAAGTGACATGCTTCAAAGTACTAAGACACTATAGCAGAAGAAAAGGACAAAGGAGAGCCAAGCAAATAAATGAATGCAGAAATCTGGGGTAGATACAGGTATTCTGAAGAATCTGTGGGTACATTAGCTCCTGTCTCAAAAGACCTAAACCCAAACCAAAACAAACCAACAAACAAAAAACCCCCAACAAAATAATAATAGTTTTATATTCATTTTAATTCTAGAAAGACTTCCACTTTAATAGGGAAAATAGAGAACACATCACAGAAAGACAAAGGGATTTTCTTCATTTACTGAATGTGGTGAGACAAAACCAAAGGTGAAGGGTAAAGAATATTAAGCCTATTTTTCTTTGCCCTCAGGCAGTGCTGCTTGTGTTCCTTTTATAATGCAAGTTTTAAAGCAAAATACAAAAGAAATTAAAAATAAGTGTTTTCTTAGGCAGGCAGTGAGCATTAAAGAAAAAGGAGTCCTACAAAGCAAAAAAAAAAAAAAATGCACAAAGGAAAGGCATTATTATTGTTGCTGTTCTCAGTCAACTCACCTGAAGAGGAAGGGAGCTGGCCATAGTCCTGGGAGGCCCTGCTGGGTTTCACATTGTCTCCTGGCAGCCTCCTAGCAGGAGGCAAAGGAACCTGGCCACTTGTTGGGTCAAAAAAGGAATCTAAAAATAAAGATAATATTATAATTAAAAGAATGATCCTTCTTGATTGGCTGAAGAGAATTCTAGGCGCTTTCTATAGATTACAGCTTTTAACAATTATGCAACTAATTTCATGGTTATTACCAATCACTTTCTACTATGCATATTTTTCTAATTTATTCATCACTTGTTCAAAGAGGTCTTGCTCAGGTAAGCTCTTCCCATTTAATTGTGAAATAAGGACAACAATTTTTTGTTTATTCTTTTAAAGTTGATTTTTAATTGCAAAATGTTGGTAAAAACTTCTTATAAATATGAATTTCTCTCCCTATCAAAAACTGTGAAAATATAAATTTCAGAATTCAAAATTATTTTACTACTCATAACAGTGTTCAAGAACAGGAACAAAAGGGAGAAAAAAAGATTACCAGTGTTGGCCTGTGAAATCACTAGGACTACGGCTTAACTGGTTTTAAATGAGTACTATGTGGCTTTCAAGTCTTAGATGGACTCCTCTGAGAACACTTTGGTTCATTAGTCACTGGCTGTCAGCTCCACCCCTGGGCGGGCTTTTCCTCAATCTACTCTTCTGTTGGCACCATCTCTGAAGTTCTCCGAAGTTCTTCAGAGGGCAGACTCTTGTCTGACTTACATGGTTTATATCATATCTCCTAACTCAAACATGGACACACTGCTTGGCAATTAACTTGCACATATTAAATATTTTAACCACTAAAAATAAATTCATGCAAATTCCGATTTTCCATAAATCAAAGCCAGTGAAACATGAACTACTGTAAATAGTAAGGGTACAGCTCATTTCATTGGTTAACTTTCATTTGAGCTTGACATTAGGGATACGTAAGAATTCAATTACAGTTGTACCCTTTCTGGAGTAATTACCAGTGGCTTGGCTGGGACTTTCTGACTTAGGCACAAAAACTGCTTTCATTCAATTCAAGATTAAAATAACTCAGATTTTTGAGCTGAGAGTGGATAGCCCAGACTCATCAAATTTGCTGAAATATTCTGGGAAGAACTGAGTTAAAATAAATTTCAGTTCACAAATGTTAACCTTTTGGATTTTTAAAAGACTCCAAGGAACCAAATAAGGTGGTTTCCTTACAAATTTTGAATTATTCAAAAATTCAGTTTTAAATAGTCAATAAAAAGTACTTTAGATTCCTGTGTACTCCAAATACCCAGGGATATACAACAGTAAGTCAAAAGAGCATCTTTCATGATATCTATACTTATTTACTACCTCAGAGCTAATATCAGATATTTTTATATAATTTCTAAACAATTATTGAAGGTTAAAGAAATTGAAATTTCAACACCATAAATGGACCAAAAATATACAGTTGTAGTATGTTGTGCCATTAAATCAATTTACATAAGAGACTGGATACACTAAAATACTATCATAAATAGCAAACAAACTTATGATTCTGTTCCATCACTATAACTTTTATCTCATTTAAAGCTTAATTTGTTTGGCTATTGGCAGGTACAAGTAAAATAGGTTTCCTGTTAAGAGCTATCTAATTGGAGCTAACATTTGAAAGGAAAAGATACTATAAACAATAATGGTTGCATACAGTATTATAATTACTAGCTTGTCCTCAATTTAGTTCTTCAAAAATTAAGTAAAGCTTATGGTTCATAGTTAAAATTAAAATATACAAGTTACAAATGCTACAGCCAATTTATCATTTATAGAATAATATTTTTTGGAGAATTTAATATAATCTCTCCTTATTTTAGAGATTATAAAAAATTAAAGACAAGGAAAGCATTTGATAACTTAGGTAGAGGTGATTAACCTCTATCATCTATTAAGATTATGTCATTATGGGGTTGGAGAGATGGTTCAGTGGTTAAGAGCAGTGGCTGCTCTTGCAGAAGACCCAGGTTCAAATCCCAGCATCCACATGGCAGCTAACAACTGTTTATAACTACAGTTCCATGGCATGTCACCCTCTTCTGTCCTCCAAAGGCACTGCATGACATGGGTGCACTTAAACACATGCAGGCATAACAGATAAAATAAAAATAAATAAAAAATTATGTTGGTAGAATATTAATAACACAAAGGTGTTCAAGACATAGAGAGAAAAGTTTACATCCAGTATATACTATGTGAAATAAACTTTACATTTATTCCTAATAAATGTAAATGCATTAGAAAAACAATAAAAAAGCAAGAAAAGAAGGAAATCAATAATTTTGAAACTCTTCAAAATTTACTCAAGTGAGGAAAAGAGGCAAACTAAACAGCTAAGACAGTCGCATCTCTCCCTATGGCTACATGCTATTCACCAAATCTGACAAGAATCAATGTAGAATCTAATTGCTAGGAGGAGTTCAAAGTGTCAGATGATACAAAGTTATTCATTCCTGTTAGCTGCCCACCTTCTAGTTTGCATGCATAGACTCTCTGGTATGCAGCAATCTATCCATTGACTGCAATCCTCCAAGTAAGGGAACTCATTGTCCACCAAGGTATGATTATTCATTATCACTGAGAACATTCTTTTATATAATGAATGGAAATTTTCATTCTCAATATTTCTTGTTCATTTTATTTTTACCTTCTGAGGTGATATGAAAGAAACACTCCTTTCACAGATACTGTAATTAGGACATTACTAAGGGGGTATTTCTAACACATCTGTTATGTCTTCGCTGGGCTAAACATTTTGACTTCTATTTTTATTTATTTTTGTGTGTGTTTGCCTGCATGTATGTATGGGCACCATGTGCGTGCCTGATGGCCACAGAGGCCAGAAGAGGGCAAAGGATCCCTGGGAACTGCAGGTACAGAGGACTATGAGCCCCCATGTGGGTGCTGGGAACAGAACCTAAGTCCTTTGCAAGAGCAGCCAGTACTTTTAACCACTGAGCTGTCTTTCCAGCCCCATTCTGAGCTCTTCTAATCCACTGTAGCTTCCTTGGAGTGGTTCAGATTTCCTTTCCCATCCTTGCTGTACTTCTTTAGGAGTATACTACTGTCCAGCACTGCAAAAATGTGAGCATTTAGCTTATCAGAATAAGCCAAGTATTTGTGAAAACACATATTTCTGGGCATCATTTCTAGGGTATCTGCTTTAGTCAAGTCCTAACTTTGCACATCAAAGCAAATTCCCAGAAGATGCAGATGCTGCTGAGTTGAAGACACAGTTTGAGAATTGCTGTTCTTGCAATCTAACCCTTTAAAAGGGGAATTGGTAGCTCCATATGGGCAGAGCTCTGCAAAGACCTTTATCCTCTGAATGTAGTTCTGTGAGAGAAAACTCCAAATGGCATGAGTTCTCTGGCTAGGCACATCATGACAGTGATTCATAAAGGCTGAGTTAACAATATCCCTTACTTCCTTTTCCAAGGCTGTTGCCAATCACCTGGCTTTTCTTTGCTCTTATGTAACTGAACTTCTGTGTCTCAGAGGTAAAAGTTTTACTTATCTTTAATAAAGTCAATTTTGCTAGCTTTTAGGATTGAATTATGGCTTTTATGATTGGATAAGGACTTTAAAAGAAATTCTGTGTTAGAGGAAGAGTGAAGGAAACATGGTGTAAGGCCACCAAATATGTGGTACATTTTGTGCCCTGCACAAAGTCATACATAAAGGGTATGTACGAGAGTAAGCGCCACCTAGCTTTGTTGCCCAAGCTTAGCCGCTGGCACAAAGCTGCAGAAATGCCTATTTTGACCCTTCCACATAAAGGAATGCTTAAAAAAATAATAAAAAGGACATGTATGCCAGCAATCATCTTGGGTTTGGGGACAGGAAATTGCGACGCTTTTGTTGAAGACTCCTGGTTTTGTTAAGGTTTGATTGGCTTACCCATAATGGATGGCTCATGCACAGTAGTAGGAATTATTATTTTGCCAAAAGAAATCTTGCTTGAAAGCCTAAGATAGGAAACATAAAAGAAGAACCAGAGCTCTGCCTCTGCTTGGCTTCCCTTCCTCAATCCTACTGGAATCATGAGGCCTCTTTGCAGAAATACAACCTGGCAATCTGAAAACAGCAACTGTAGAGAAGTCACAGGGCTGTAAGCCTGACAAGCTTAACCCAATTCAGTTGACCTGACTTGTGTTTTGTGAGACCCCTCCGAGCATTCCAAATTATCAATCTTAAGAAGAAAGAGAGAAGCGAGGAGTAGGAAAAGGTGTACATTAAAGGTGAATCACAGCCAACTGAGTTTCCACTGAAGCACTGGGGTACAAGAAGTACAAAGTGAATATTTAAAAAAAAAAAAGAGATTTCTCATGATTTATTCTATATAGAGAAATACAGAAAATATTTTTTAAAAAGATTTTTTTTTTTTTTTTCCTATTTGACACAGGGTATCCTGTATAGCCAAGGCTGGCCTTAAGCTCATACTCTTCTGCCTCGGCCTCCCAACTGTTGTGATTACAGGTGCATGCCTTCAGATTCAGCCAAAATGCTTCACCAAAGCAAGTCCTGGAGCACCAGTGTTCTTAACTGCTAAGTCATCTCTCCAGTCCAGGAGTTCAGGGCACACACCACAACATCACCAGGAAGAGAGACTGGAAACATTAGTATAGGCAGATGTGACAATGCATGAACATGCTTTCCTTTTCCTGACAACTCTGATTAATGTATACATAGTGCTTACTTTAGTCTCTTCATTTTTATTTCTGTTCCTCATTTCAAAAATTTGTATTAATGCAAAATGTTATTAGCTTTCCTTTGAAGACCAATAACATAAAATGCAAGGATTTTATTTTCAATTTCATTTATTACTTTCATTTTATGTGTATGTGTGTATTGTCTGCACGTAGATAAATGCACCTGTGTCATGCAATGCTCATGGAGGTCAAAAGAGGCTGTTGGATCCCCTGGGGCTGGAATTATGGACAGTTGTTAGCTGCCATGTGGGTGCTAGGATTCGAACCTGTGTCTTCTGCAAGAACAACCAGTGTTCTTAACCACTGAGCCATCTCTCCAGTCCACAAGGAAAATTTTTAAAAATTAAAAAGAATTATCTACCTATATAAAAATCCAAAATCTTAGTCTTTTAAATAAAATTATGACACTAAAGCATATCTTATAAAAATTTAAAAGTCTATTATTAGTAAAACATTACATTAGGAGTAAGGGACAGAGAACCTAAAGACTGTGTCTTTTCTACTAGTTCATCACTTCAACATTCTGTTTTTCAGGGGTGTTTCTGTTTTCTAAAGGAATGACTTGCTTTGCACACTATGTAAAGCATCCTTTCTTACCTTGCTCCTTCTTTCCTTTCTTCTGTCTCTCCCTCACCCCTTCCTTCTTTTTTATTCTTTGAAAACTTCATATATGTATATAATGTATTTAATTACATTGTCCCCCAACTTCCAATTCCCTCCCTCAATTCCCTTACTGCTGCACCACACATCTCTCTCAATTTCATGTTCTCTTTTTCAAATTTTTAAAATAGTACACTGAGTAAAACTGGCGCTGACCATATGCACATGGGTGTAGTCATGCACTGGGGCCTGGGCAACCTACCACGATTCCTTATTGCTCTCATCATCTTTACGATTGCTTTGTCATTAAGTCAATTAATCCTCAAGCATACCGACCCAAACTGCTCCTCAAACTGCTCCTCTCATTACCTAGCAGTTTTTTTTTTTTTGCTGGTATGACAGAGGCTCAGGAATTACTAATATGAATATGACAGCATGATCTCAGAAATACTATTTAAAGAGAAACATTCTCCTTGGCTTTTCTCCTCTCCTACCTGAAGGAAGAAGGAAAAGGTCCTGTCCTGAGGAAGGTCGGCTACTGGAGCCCGAAGGTTTTGGATGTTCAATAAGACTGTGCCTTGCAGGAGGTGGGGGAGGAGGGAGGGATGGGGGGAGGGCATCAAAAGCATCTTCACCTGCATTTAAAGAAAGGTCATTATCAACAGCAGAACTTCATTAATCCAAATACAGTATCAAGCAAGAGCAATGACTGATTTTCCTCTTGCTGCTTACGTGGGAGGGTTCTGAGGAAACACACACACACACACACACACACACACACACACACACACACAAATGCCCCCCCGTGAAAGGTTTTGCTGTTTCCGGGGTTGTTCTATAAAAGCAGCATTACAGGTTATGAAATAGCTCATGGTTTCTTCACAACCTTTATACTATTAATATACTAGAACTTTGAACTGAAAATTATTATCAGTCACATGAGCAAAATAGAATACTCAGAATAACAAAGAGAGTTCATGGCCACTATTTACAAAATCAAACCATGCACATGTAATTTTAATGTCATGGAATACTTTCAACCATCCCATAATATTTGTTCCACTGGATTTTAAGTCATTTAAATTCCACCAAACATTGGATTTACTGTCAAATTATATAGAAAACACACATATGCAGGGGAATGTATTTGCTATGTAACTCTTATCTGTAGAGAACATATCAGTGGAGAGTTCCCTTTTGCGGCCACCAAAACTAGTTACTTACATGCGTGTATTTCTCGGGTTTTAATCATAATATAAAGAATGTTTTAATATATTCTTTATTTATTTACCCAGATGCACCTGCTAGCCTACCCATAGTTTTATTGACTTTGATTCCTTAAAAAATAAAGTGACTTATATGCACTTAAAAATATGTCTAAATGGCCGGGTGTGGTGGTGTATGCCTTTAATTCCAGCACTCAGGAGGCAGAGACAGGCTGATCTCTGTGAGATGGAGGCCAGCCTGATCTGCATAGTGAGTTGCAGGCCAGCTACAGCTGCAGGGAGACTCTGTCTCAAAAAGACAAAAAAAACAAAACAAAACAAAACAACAACAACAACAAAAAACCATGCCTAAATGTTTTATCAATGAGGCAGGCCATATATAAACACTACATATTCTAAAAATAAAAATATACTTGTATTAAAGTTGATTGACTTGGATGAATTTACCATTCATTGAGCTTGCTTTAAAAAATATGAAGAATGTTTCATCTAGGTATTTTTTCTTGTTCGAAGTATTTTTAGATATAGGTGAGATTTGTTATAATTCCAGGGTTTAGCTGTAATATCATATTCAATGTTTTTCAGCCCTTAAGTATCAGGCACCACACTAGGTACTTGAGTGATATGAAAAAATCAATACTTCAGGAGCTTACATTCCATGAAAGGAGCTAAAACATGTTCATAAACAGGTCTAACTGACAGGTAAGAACATCTGACTGGCCCTATAAAGCAGAAACTTGCTTTCTAAGAGAGAAGAAAAATACAAATGATATCTAGTAAGGTGCTAACAACCAGGAAATGAGGCTCAGGGAATGAAAAGATGGATTCCCCTAAGTTGAGTGAACAGTATGAACAATGAACAGATGGATAAGCAAAGCTAGTGGAAAGCTGAAGTACTGAGACAGCCTGAACTTTCTATTTGTAACAGCTAATAAGAAGGTCACCATCCCCCTATGGCTATTGAATAAAATCCCTCACTAGGCAAAATGCAAATACACAGACTACTAACATCCCCACAGAGAGCTCTATTGAACAGTACTGATCTTGATCATGAAGATTTGGGTAGTAGGTCAAGACCAACTCAAAGAAACAAAAACGGAAACCAGACTGTAGATAGAAATTAGGAGCATCCTAGAATTAAGGCAGATGAGAACAAAGTCCTGACCCATAGAACAGAAGAAAAGACACTGTACTTGGGAAATTCAAAATGCTGCTCAGTGGTTCTTATGAGAAAACATAAAGGTTCATTTAGTATTTCCAGTGGTCTAACAGATAATTCAGAAAAGCTTACAAATGGATTTTTACCATACAATAGCACACATTAAAGTGACTTATTATTGTGAAGCCTAGGATTAAATAGAACTTGTTCTCAGTTTTCTATAAAGAAGTATATACTTTTTTCATAACTTAGTTAACCTAAGTGGAACAGGGCCATTTCCTGATGAAGTAAAGAGAAGTTCATTATTACTAAAAGTTATACTTGGAGAGCATCTGACTTAATACTTCAAAGGATCACTTTAATGTAATTGGAACACATGGTACAGGGTAGTCAAAAACAGTGTCTTACTGCTGAATCTAATTTGGAAGAGACAACCTGGTAATCCCTTAATTGATGGTCAACATTTTTAGGTCATCATTTTGTTTTAGTTTTAAAAGGATTCTATAAAGAAAACATAAACGAAACAACCTGTGTTAGCTATTTTCTCTGATTATAAAAGTAACACGTTATAGAAAATTCAGGTATATAAACAATACAAGAGACACTATGAAAATTACCTACAATGTCACAACTTAAAACTCTTTCCTATACTATTAGTTTCACTATCTAGGAGAGGGGATGGTCACATGAGCATGGAAAACCCATTCTAATTTCAGATTCATTCTCAACCAGGAGTCTGCATTATATTGAATTCTTAGTTCTAATAACGCAGATATGAAGAGAAGGGCAGGGGTTGTTAATTTTTTTTTATTTTTTAAGTTTCAACCTAATGGAGGGATGAGAAGATCATAATCAGAGGGCGTCCTGTTGAGTGAAGAACAATGCTTTGTGTTGTCCCGAGTTGGAGGCCTGGCAGGCGGTAATGGCACTGGATCAGAGGCTGAATCAAAAACATCTCCTAGAGGATAACACAAAACCTTAATGTATTTTCAGCATGAAAACAGATGGGAACTTGCCTTTAAATTCTGACCATTAAGAACTATATTTCTAAGGAAAGAATATTCTATACATACCCTTCAAATAGATGCCTAACTCTGGGGTGTTTGATTTCTTCATCTCTGAAGATGTACCATGTGTTCCATTCAATACACAGTGACCATTATCACAAGACCTAAAGTGGAGATCAGAGGGCAAGAATCATTTGGGAAGGCAAAGAGGAACTTTCATCCATATTTAGGAAATAAAGCTATAAAACAAAGACACTGTCCATTCTAAAACAAGGACCAGTAGCAACACATAGCTACTCATACTCTCATTCTAAAAAAACAGATGTGAATACCTTAAAGAAGCATCTCTCTCTTTCAAACTGAAACCAAGAATTACAAGGGCCACCAAAATAGTTAAAATCCTAAACACATCGGTGGAATTAAGGTATCTCTTTGTAAGAATTCAGTAAAACTTGGACAAGATTCTTCATTAAAATAATACGTGCCCATGAAAAAAAAAACATGTAAGTTCCAATGACTTCATTATTTGTACATGGAAGTTAAAATGCTTTGTTTATGCAACTTAAGCATTCTTTATAACAAATAAACTAGGGCCTTAAAAGAAAATTATTAAACTTCCAATAATTCCATTAAGGCTCTAATACCACTATGAGGAGCAAAGCTCTGGATCTTTGACATCTTAGAAAAGGAAGTTTAGCAAAGGCTTTGGGTACATAACAAATGTTTTAATCTGGGTGAGTATTAATTCACTAAAAGGGCATAATTTTGTTGTTGGAATTGATACTGGATGAATCTAGGGCACAGGGAGATGCAGGAGGAGCAGGGGACACAGAAAAAAACCTGGCTGAGTAACAGCGAGCTGACAAAGCTATAGAAAGTGAAGTTTACATTTTACTATCTCTTGAATTACTCTGAATTCTTAAAGCAAAGTAAAAGTGCATACATAATGGACGAGACAGTGGATATTTCAATAGATACTGCAAGAGTAATTCATCTGAAATTCATTTTCATTCTCTCTGGTGGCCACTTCTTTTTAACGGGCCAGATATGGTTCATTTAAAAACAGTTATGTATTGAATCTTCATAATGATGATGGATTTTGCTGAAACTGAACTGCATTATTCATTTACTGTTTCACTTTCTCATATATTGACAATTGATTTATTTATTTTTTGGTGTTCCAAAGAGGGAGGAGCACAGACAGAGCGAGAGGATGAAGCTGAGGGAGAGCTCTGGAGAGGACACAAGAAGACACTCAATCCATTGCTTTTCAAGATCAAATTAGGTAACAATTCATTCCAATAGGCTTAGGGATTAAGGACATTCATTACTTCTCTAAAATAGTAGAAAGATGGTTATAAAGGTTATAATTCAAGTTTACATCCAGGATCCTAGAGGCCAGCTACTAAATCTCAACCACTATAATACAACAATTAAAATTTAATGTATTAAAATTGTATCCCTTGGTTCTCCAGCCATGAAAAGAATGAGCTTCCCCAAAGAAACAAACAAAAAAGAGAAACTCATCCCATTTCAGTTTTTAAAAATTGCTTTACATTTGTAAGAGCCAAAGAAGCTAAACTTCATTAACAATTTATATTTGATAAAAAGGAATAACCTTTTTCCTCTAACAGAAGTGTGGACACTTTGGCTATTCCAATGTAACAAATGTTCTTCCAGGCATTCCTCTGTTTTGTCAATAATAATATTCTACCAACAAATGTCTTAAAGATGTCAATTAATAAGAAGTATGTTGGCTCTTGTTTTGTAAATGAAACCCTGGATTTCAGAGTGCTACTAGCCCTGGTTAATAACTCTGCAGAGAACTGATAACTCTAATGGTCATCACTTAAGACAACTCTGGTTAAAATAAAGATATTCTCTTCTTCCAAGTATTTCAATTTCTACCTTAGTGAGATACCTGAGATGTGTTTTCACCTGAAAGCAGGGAACACTCCACTCATGAAATGCTTTCAGTTGACGGACATGACCTCAAAATATACATTAAAGATGGGATAGATGACCGACATGTTTGTGGTCTCCTGTCCCTCAGTGAAGAGGGGCTAGGTGGTAGTGAAACCAGCAGAAGCTAAGACCTTACCCATGTGCCAATCATAGCTCCAGGAATATGATGCAAGGGAATCAGAGCTCAGAAAGCAAGTTTGAAGCTAAGATTGGATTATGAAGTATCTTGTGTATCAGTCAGATAAGGTACGTGAATGTCATTAGAGTTTAACATGTCAATTATATGCATGATGATTCATGGTTTTGCTTAAAGAAAAATGGATATTTTAATGGACATAACCCATTAGTAATTACGCTTCTAAACTTCTACATGGTTCACACATTCAAGGACTAAGGATGTCCCCATAATACTGAGAATCACAAAAAAACAGAAACAATGAATAAAACCAGTATTCTTTATATTCCTGTCTAACCCAAGGGAAGGTAAAATAGTACTTGATTTAAAAAAGTTAAGGGAAATAACTTCAGGACACCTCACACTTCATTGTTTTATGATCTAAAGAGAAGCACAATAGATATCAAGAAGGAAAATGAATATAAATTATACAAGTCTTTACAATATAAAGAGAAAGTCTAAGGAAGGTTAGCCTAACACCTTAATATTAGTTATAAGCATTGACTTATTCTCTCTCTCTCTCTCTCTCTCTCTCTCTCTCTCTCTCTCTCTGAAATTATTCTGTTCACAAGACACACACACACACACACACACACACACACACACACACATGTTTGGGGTTGACAGAATTCATTAAAATAGTTGAGTAGAAATGCATGAATTAATAATCATTATACATGATACATAGCTACATTTTATTAGACTGTAATTTGGCTTTTGGAGGGGAAGAGGGCAACACAATGTTCTACTTAATTTATTTTTCCTGAAAGCAAAGGAAAAAGTAGTATATAGTAATAATAAGCAATGAACAGCAAGTTAAAGATTTTTAACCAAATATCTGTGATTTAACTGCATAAAAACAACCCCTATGTTTCATAGTATGATAATGCTTATGTACATGTGGGACGGTACATGGATGCACATCTTCTTACCGAACAGGTGGTTTGACATTATGACAATGAGATGGTTGTGAATTCAGGGAAACAGGATGGGATGAGGGAATCTTGTATTCATCATCATCTTCCTCTACTGTGTCTCTTGTTTTCTCTGAGAGACAGTTTGCTAATGGACCAGTACACCTATCAAGGGGGAAAAAATCCAATCCGGTTTAAGCAACATAAATATTTAGAACAGGGAAGTCTAATGTGACACACTCAAATCAAAGAAGCCATCTTGTCACCTGTATTTATTTTTCAATTGCAAACTGTTCTTATGCTAAATGAAAATGGAAAGTTTTTGCAAATTTGCTAAACACTTTCTTGATGTGACAGAAGAATGTTCAAACCTATAGTTTTTAAAAGGTTCAATAAGAAAAAAAAGCAGCCTGTGAAATAAAATGTTTTATAATAAAGATAAAAGAGGGAATTTATACAGTATTCAAACCAAAGCTGTTAAATATCAATAGCTCATTCCAATTTAACTTAAATGGGTAGAGTAAGATAAAAATACATGTACATCAGTTGTATACATTAATGAATCATTTAAGGATCAATTTTTTTGTCCGTAGATAGTTGTATAGTTTTTTTTTTTTTTAAATAAACTGTCAGTGAATGAAACTTAGCTTTCTTCTGTTAGGATAACTCTATTGTTAGAGGTTATTCCACAATGACTAAGAACTTAAAATGAATACAATTAAAAGATAATAACAGAATCCACTCAATCTTTGAAGTATATTATTTTTTATACCTCAAAGTATCTGAATACAAAAACCAGAGTAGAATGAATAAAACAACTGTCTAATACCAAGATAAACTGGAGCATTTTATTGACCATTTGGGTAAATATGCAAAATAAAACTAACTCAAACAAATAAATGGAAAAATAACACAATGTGCCAGTTGTTGCCTCGGGAATTTAATGTAATCCCTGAGGTCCAGTGATGATGACCAAGGAGAAAGTCTCAAAGCTGACTGATGGGAGACAGACAACCAGTTTATAAAATACCGGGACAACACATGGATCCAAACCATTTAAATCACCATGGACTGCCTAACAAATCTCATTAAACAAAACACTAAGTGACTGTAATTTTGCAGCACCTTCTGTAGAGGGAGCAAGAGGCCTTTGGTATACGAAGCAATTGTGTCTAAAGTTAAGCTTTTCATTTTGAGTTCTTACCACAAGTTGAGCATCCCTTATATGAACTGCTTGAAACCTGAAGTGTTTCAGATTTGGGGATTTTTTTCATCAAACTTTGGAACATTTGCATAAACTATGCCAGCTGTACAGCCCTAGTGTAATGCTCAAAAATTCTGAGTTTTGGAGCATTTTCTATTATTTCAGACCTTCAGATCAGTGAGGCTTAACAGTTGTTAGAATGGAAAATAACTTCAGAGGCTTTTTTTGCATGTGTGCCCATTCAGAAAGATATTTTGAAAACTTACAGTTTTCAAGTTTCAACTGTATAGATAAGTTTCTAGAGAGTTCAGAGATCAAAGAAAAGTCTTCATAAGTTTTCAAAAGTTTATTTTTTAATCTTTCTTTGAAGAAATTTTCAATATTGATCTTTGAACTTGTGTTTCTAGAGCTACTTTAGAATTCAAATGACAGATAATGGTGACAAGAACTTTGCTGGAGTGACAGCAGGTCTAAGATGACAGTCAGAGCACAGGCCAAGAAAGTCATTAATAACCAGGGTTACATTCATTTTGGTTTAATCTTGGAATAACTGGCCTTCCAACTAATGGTAGGTAGTACAAGGATTTCAAAAAAGTGACTTGATGATGTTTTGATAAGGAATATAAATCACTGTATTTTCATGACTTCTTGAAAACACAGACATCAATTTAGCCAACTAATGACCAAAAGGTCCCATGATCAAAGGAAATGTGATCTGTATACATCCTTTCTCTGCTTACTGTACTTTTGTTCACAATGTATACTATTTTCATACAACTCAAGTACATATTGCAAAGATGAAAGAGAAATTTTTGACCTAATATTCAACAACCACAGCAACGGCAGGAATTTTATTTGTTATAGGTTACTTCCAAAGATTTGATAATTTCCAAAGGAGGATTTCACTATGAATTAAAAATGGACAATTGTTTTTATTTTTAATTTATTTAATTTTTTGTATGTCTGCTCATGCACATATATGCCAAAGTGCATGGTTACATCAAAGAACAACTTGTGGGAATCAGTTCTGTCTTTCCTTCTATCATGTGGATACTGTGGAGTGAACTCAGGCTGTCAGGTTTGGCAGCGAATACTTTATCCACCGAGTCATCTTACCAGTCCAAGAAATGGACAATTTTAAAATTCACAGTTGTTGCTAATTCTATGTTCCATTTTTTTTTTGATAGAAGATCTTTTCTGGGTAAATGCCACCAATTCTTTTGTTCAGTCACAAACCAACTTATAAGGCAACACTTATCTAGTATTTTCTCAAATAATAAGGACTCAGATATTACAAGTTAGAGATTATTAGGTTAAATGGATTTTGGTGAAATCAGTAGAAGTGAACAAAGGTGTGTGATATTTATATCTAAACATGAAAGCGTGCTTGTATTTCTCATTAAAATTTTCTCAAATTATGTTTCAATATAAACATCATATGTAAAGTTTAGTATTAAACTTAAATCAAAAACTTATTTGCAATACTATCCTGGCATATTTTATTCAGTATTTTTAATACAAAGAATGAATGTAGTTTCTGCCACAATAGGAAATAGAAGACAAAGGTTCAAGTAAGAAGCTGTGTATAAAAAACAAAAGACAAACCCAAACTTACACCATTTTTATGTATGTGCAAATAAGCAATGGTAAAATAACTAGGTTTATGTGCTGGATAGCTTTAGAGTCAACTTGACACACCTGGGTAGAGGGAGCCTCAATCGGTGAATTGCCTCCTTTGGACTGACTTGTGGTCATATCTGTGGGGCACCTTTTTGATTAAGTGATGTGGGAGGGCCCAGTCAACTGTGGGCAGTGCTACCCCTGGGCAGGTGGGCCTGTGTTGTATAAGAAAGCAAGCTGAGGATGGGCCAGGGGAGCAAGCCAGTAAGCAGTGTTCCTCCATGGCCTGTGCTTCAGCAACTGCCTCCAGGTTCCTGTCCTGAGTTCCTAGCCTGGGCTCCCTCAGTGATGAACTGTGACCTGGGAGATGTAAGCTAAAATAAATCCTTTCCTCCCCAATTTGGTACTGGTCAGAGTATTTTGTCACAGCAATGGAGAAACAAACTAGGACAGTTTAGCATTAGTATCGATTCCATACTTGGGCAGTACTGAAAAAGATCACACTAAAGAGACATGGATGATTTCAGTCACTGACAGAATTTAAGGAAAAGTTTTAGGATCCCAAAGGATTAAGTAGGACAAGTCATTTGGCTGGTTCCAAGTTAAAGATGCCAAGTCACCACCTACTTTTACATTTACATCTATCATTTCAATAATGCTCTAGGATCTTACATTCCTACTGCTTCTGTACTGTGCCACCATTCCTGATCTAGTTCTCCAAGAGTGCACAGGAACATGCTTTTTTAAAGATGTAAAACTATACTCCTTTTAACTTGCACAACCTGTTAAGTTCACTTTCATAAGTTACTTGAGCCTACCTAAAGACACACCAATTCATTTGTTTACTGCATGTGCGTATTTGAGTACATTAAGAAAGAGGTGAGTATTCAGGCCATGAGAGTGAGGAGTGCTGAAGGCTTACAAATGCCTTTCTCCCAAGCACTGTATATTACTGGTGTAAGGCATATAATTCCAGGGGTGATTTCCTGTACATGCCATTAGCATTAACCCCTACAGTAGACCATCCTCAAGTATTTTTCATTAGTAATTTTTGACAACTCAGTTACTCCACTAAGTTTATCAGAAAACATAAAGAAGCAGAAGCAAAAGCATTTTCTATGTCTGTAAAAACCCCTGTGAAACTGGCCCACAAATTTAATCACTTTCTCTGACCCTTTCCATATGTGTATTTAGCATATTGCTGTTTTCTCTACTCTATTTTACTGTTTCTGTCTTCAACTGCAAAATGCAATTGAAGTCCACCAAGGATTAGCCTAGACTGCACATAACTGAGCACCGAACAAGCTTTTAGACAAAAATAATGAGTGTGTATTAGAGGAAAAAATTGCCTAAACTGGTAATGATGAAAGAGCAACCATTTTCAGACTTTTCATAGTCCAGAAAAGCATTTTAAACATGATATGTCATTTTGTTTTCTAGCTATCAGAATCTCTCCACTTTAATATCTGAAAGTAAGGATCTAAAATATTTGTATTAACAGAATCTCCAGCTGCTATACATTTTACTCCATATTTCTTGTGCTACACTGTTCTTACCCTAATTAAGGAACACCTGGAATTCAGAGATGCCACAGTTCAGGAGAGCAGTAAAACCAAACAGTGATATTTGAAATGATTATTACATATCAGCAGCATGTAAGTCATTCCCCCAAAATACTGGCATGAGTTTCCTAATTTTGAGGATACTTCATGACATCAAGAAAGGACAGTGTGCTATAACTTCAAGTTTGAAAATAAGCCTTATTTGTAAGCAATTTCACCGATTTGCTTTTAAACTGGAGAAAGAGATGTGAAGCTCTGTACCTGTGTTCTGTCCCATGCCCAGGCTTTTCAGAAATAAGATCCTGGCTGCTCCTGGCTCCTCCAGAGTTTCTGTTTAAGCACAGCCATTCAGAGAGGCCTTCCTCAGGACCCCACCCAGAGTTAAACTTGTCTGTCATTATTTATCCTACTCCAAGCATACTTCTCCTCCTAGCATTTACCACCAGCCAATGATGCACAACACAGATACTTGTTTGCTCTCTGCTCTCCTTAATTAGAGCATAAATTCCAAAGAGGATCTATTATCTGTTCTCCCTGAAACTCCATGAATGTAGCAACAGAATGAACACAGGAGACCTAGTCAATGTGGATTCTCTTCTCATTGAATCCCAAATATTAGCACCCTATTTGCTTAAAAGATGTATAATAACAATTAACAATACTGTTTCCTACAACAAAGAACTTTTTAACAAAAACATGAAGCAAGTACTACTGGTTCACGGGTATATGAAAGCCTGTGACTGATATGTCAAAAGTAGAAAAGGTGTATCTGTAAATAGTAAAGCGGGGGAAAATAGTCTCTGAAAGCAATGACATTACCCAACAATCTAGAACATTGTTTTCCTTGGAAGTAATCACTTCATATTATTTATAGCAATGTTTATTTGTTAATGCAGTATGCCAAATACAATAAGCATTTTGATTCTTTAGTCTTCCATTTGATTAAATTTAAAAATGAAATCATATAAATATAATTTAGTAAAAAATACATCAATATATTACATATTTATATTAAAAGTATATATTATATAGTATAATTTAAATGTGAGGT